CCCTCGAACTAGGCAACTTGTACTGACAGATCTGTCGGACCGGTTGCTTGCTCCCAGGCGCAAACGTGCCACCTCCTCGCATATCATGTGCTCCTGATACTAAAGTGCAAAATCGGCCAGAATCTCGTGATGTACAGAAAATTAGTTCCTTGAATTAGGCGACCTATTTTAACAGACATGTCGGACAGGTTGCCTGCCCGTAGGCGCAACCGTGCCACCTCTCCGCATATCATGTTCTCCTGATACCAAAATGTAAAATCGGCCAGAATTTTAAAACATACCGAAAATTAGCCCCTTGAATTAAGCAACCTGTACTGACAGTTATGTCGGACCGGTTGCTTGCTCTCAGGCGCAAACGTGCCACCTCCTCCTCCCATATCATGTGCTCCTGATACCAGGAGTAAAATTCGAGCCAGAATTTCATACGTACCAAAAATTCCTCGTGCCACCTCTTTGCATATTATGTTCTCCTGATGGCAAAATGTAGAGTATGTCCATTATTTAGTTATATGTATATAACACATTTATGCTATAACATCAATTGAATCCTACGCCATGTAATTCACTTGCAGGAAAATAGGAATTGATTTATGGGTTTAATAGGGAGGATTGTGAATAAGAATTTATCTGAATATTTGGGAGATTATTTATAAGACAGTTTATTATTCGATATACGTTACATAATACATATATATGTTACACCATGGGACATATACATATCGTAAGATATATCCTTTATGTTTCCAGTGGTGTTATTGCTTCCAGAAAACTGAAAGAATTAATAATCAAGTCTAGTGATACCAAAAAGACTACAAAGTTATAATATTTATTGTAATGCTACTCCTGTTCGCAGAGTGCAAAGGGTTAATAGCAATAAAAGTCCCACTCAGAGAGAAGCTCTGGTTCTGGATTAGATTACCTTCCCCGCAATTCACATGTTCATTTATTTACATAGGTAATGAGACAAGAAGTAAGACAATTTCTCAGCCACTATTCACATAGGTTAGGTTAGAATACATATTACGTTACATTACATTCTTCGACCATACATACGATCTCAAGAATATTAACCCTACGTTCTATTTTTTTTTTCGTACAGGCTATAATGTAATTGCATATAATAAACAGTAATAAGTGGTGATTGATAATATTCGATAAGGTTACGTCGAAGATATAACCTGATCCAACCGTGCTTGCTCTCGCATGCGCCTGCGAATTGAATTTCCTTATTCTCTGTGGTATTTTGACGTTTCAATTGAATATCTAAAAAAGAAAAACAAAAGAAAAAAAATGGTTAAACAACTTATTTTTCGTTTTCTTTTTCCTTTTAATCAAAATACCCCTAATTTCCGACTATGGGAATATAATTATAAATGAAATGACATCTTACCGCGATTCATCGACAATTTTGGAACACTCCAGAAATTTCTATACCGTGCTGTTACCGAACGGATTGTAAAGTGCTGGCAGTCGATGTCGACACTTGATGTGTAAATGATCGTCGAATGGAGTGAGAAGCAGTGAAAGCAGTGAAGCGTTGAAAGTGATACAAAAATTGGTAATCTGTCGAAAAAGTTAAAGTTCGTTAAATCTTTTCCTGGTACCTATATTTAAAAAAAAGTATGTCAACAAAAGTCGACGAGGTATGTATGCATTTTATTATTTGTGCCACCTCCTCGCGTAGCATGTTCTCCTGATACCAAAATGTAAAATCGCTCTAGAATTTAATACGTACCATGAACTCTTCGTGCCACCTCTTTGCATATCATGCAAGAAATGTAGGAAATATGATAGAAATACGTAAGAAAAGTGAAAGGAAAATGTAGAAAAAGTGAACGAAAAATGTATGAAAAATGGGAAGGAAATTGATGGGAATATGTAGGAGGAATGGAAAGGGATACAAAAGCAAAGTGATTCCATTGGAACGTGGAAACACTTGATACTCACCGATTGCGTCTTCGATCCACGTGAACTGTATTCTACATATGTTTCTCTTCCGTTTCACGCGATACCTTCAAAAGTACAAAGACGCAGCTACCAGGTCGTTAATAACAGTTAGACGTCGACGACAAGGCAACGAGCTACGACACGATCTATTGCGCTAGTCAGCCCTGTGGGGCGTCACCGACGCTCGCAGGCTGCTCAACTACGCCCCAAAACGGATGCGATTATTACGCGATACCTTGTTCCGTTTGGTAGTGCAACGCGAAACCTCATTTCCATGTAACGCTCGTCTTCTCGATGTAAACCTTAACAGTTTTCCAGGAACGTGCTCCTCGAACGCACTCGAACCATCGATATGTGAATGAAACTATCGCCAGAAGAAAATAAAATACAGGTGTGTCTCGGATATCGATATAATTTTCTACCCCCGTTTCGGGATCAGAAACCATCTCGCTCTCCAAGTGAGAGGCTTCCATTTAAGTTACATTTTAAGTCATAGAGATGACAATGTCTATACAATTCTTTGGAAAGATGTAGTATGTAACGTGAATGAAGATTTTATTTACAAGGTAAACACTTTTTAAAGTATCCACGACAAATATATATTTTCATACTCCACAAACCAAATCAAAAAGCAAAGCTTCGTACACGATTTCTTCGTTCTCAGTTTTCCTCTCGCTGTAGCCTACAGATCCACGCCATAAATAATTCACCAGCGGTAGGTAAACACCCCGTATATTACGAGATACCAGCCCCGCGGAGGTAAGCTGCAACAATCGTCCCCCGTCGCGCGAAGTCTTTTCGACGATTACATGGATGATCTTCGGAACGAAAGTAGTCGGGATCGATTTCGTCGACGCGGCTTTCGACTTTTACGCGGGCCGAGTTCCGGCCACGAGTCGTTCCCCAGTGTCAAAGTCCTCGACTTGGCTCAAACTGGCCCTTCCTTCCAACCTCGTCTTTCCGACAAGGAGCCTAACCTTTAATGTACGAGTCGTGTTCGAACCGAAACCTGTTTGGCGTAGTTAGGAGTCGTACGAGTAACTTTGTCCGATACCGCCACCCCGCTGAAAGTGGGAGGGCGAGTGATTCGCACGTACGCCCCCAGCAGAGAGATCAGCGACCTCGGTTCGATGCTGTGGAAGAGTTATACGATCCACTCGTCAAGGATAATCCAACTTGGGATACGCGCAAGATACTCGGTGTAACCGACGTTACGAAGATAATTGTGTTTCGTAACACCGAAGGCGGTACGACCGCATTCGATAAAACTTTTTCGACCCTCTCCCACCCACTGTACCACGCTATAACCCACCATCTACCCTCTGTTCGCCTTCTTTCCCCTTTCCCATTCCCGTGGAATCCTCGTTCCGCCTCGTTCCATCCCCGTTGCTCGCGAACGCGTTACAAGCGGAACGAAGCTGGCACCGGTGCAACCGTGCAACGACGCAACGACGCAACGATGCAACTCCGTGAAAACTCCGAGTGGTTTCGTATCGCGGGTGCATTGCGATGCATTGCACATTGCAGACAGCACGGCGGTGGAACCCCACCCGCGGTAGCTGACGACGCCCGTCGCCACCAGCATCGCCACAGCCGCAACCGTCCCTGTGTCGGAGCGTTCCCGTAAATAATGCACGCCTAGATCCGCGAAGGAGTGGCTCGCTTCCTAATTACCGCGTGAACTTTATTGCCGAGTCCATCGCGGCCACGTCCCACTCCTTCTTCGCGGCGAGTCACGCCAAGAATGAGTTTTCATTCCGTGCTTATCCTCTCCCGACGATCGTGCCAAATCTTTCGCCAAAGCCGCTCCAGATAAAAGGGAATTTTTCTGCGAGTGGATCTCGATAAAAGGATCACGTCTGATTTAACATTTCATGGCTTTTCTGATACATAGAAATGTTGGAAATGCGCTTAAATAAATCTTGCATAAAATAAATCTCAGGTTAAAACGTTACACGAATCTCATTTAATAAATTCCTGTTACCCTTTATAGGTCACTGATACTCGTTGTTGCCACTAAGAAAAAGGCGAGAATTTCGTATCTTTGAGTTTCAACCTCACACTTTTTTTACAAAAAAAAAAAAAGTAAAACAAATGTCCCGGAAGTTCTGCCCTACAAAGGTTGACGTATTCCTTAGAATATAGTTAACGAATTACACGTTCATGCTTTTTCTATGGATTTTTGGATACGTTCCTGGCTCTATTTTGCAGAAAATACTTTCTATAGTATTTTGCTTTACAGGACACAGCCCCGACGTGCGCCTGTATGGTTGCTATTTCCGTTTCGACCACTAGTCCGTGGTTCTCTTCGGAATACGCAAACAATCAAAGTGGAGAAACACGATAAAATGCATTTATATATATTGAGCCACGTTGCGGCCGGATTGTTGATCACGGCTATCCGCTTTTTATTGTTTATTTCCAGTTGAATACCATGGAGGGGAGTTACAAAAATAGCGATGCAATGTTACCGACGTGAACGATGTAAAATATGACTATCTTGCCTTGTCTCCGTCGAGTGATACCGACCACAGTAATCTTGCACTTTGTTTTTTATTTCTATTTACTTTGCGCGTTGGATAAACTTGACAAAAGTGCGGGATTGGCTCGCG